ACGCAAGTAGGTATATGATCTTAGAAAATAAAAGAATATGTAAAAGGAGATCATGAAAAGATTATTATTTTGAGTTCAAATTTTAAAAAGATTTTTGTAAAGACAAGACTGATACAGTTTAAGTAGTTATTGAATGTGTTTTTGTTTGATAATATATAATGTATGTTAAGCATAACATATATTTGTTCAGTAATTTTTAATGAATAGTATTGGATTATTTATAATACCAAATTAATATCAAATATTTAAGTGATGAAGCTGAATACAATATGAATAAAATAACAATAAAATTGGTATATTTGCAATACAAAATTAAGTTTTAAGAATAAAGGCGTTACTAAAAAATACTAAGAAATTCATATTTCTTTTGTTTTGGTCTAATGTTATTTACATTTACGTAAGAATTATACCGTATCGAAAAAATCGGCGTCTAGCTGGCTTGAAATGAACATCGATGACATTCCCTAAATAACGGTATTAATGAAAACTGAACAATTATGTTTATTTTATTCATATTGTGGAATCTCCACTCCAAGTGTTGCTGGTTCAGCTTCGATGAGGATTCAAACACGTAAGTAGGGTAATATGATCTAGGGAAAATAAAGAATATGTGTATTAGAGATCATGAAAAAAGATTATTATTTTGAGTTCAAATTTTAAAAAGATTTTGACTAAAGACAAGAACGATACAGTTTAAAAATCTTGACATGTGTTTATTAAAATTGATAATATATGAATGTATGTTAAAGCTGCTACATATGATTTGTTCACCCTTTATTTTAATGAATAGTATTGATTATTTATAATACCGAAATTAATATCAAATGATTTAAGTGATGGCTGAATACAATATGAATAAAATAACAATAAAATTGGTATATCTTGCAATTTCAAAATTTACAGTTTTAATTAATAAAGGCGTTACTAAAATTACTAAGAAATTCCTTATTTCTTTGTTTTAATTAGTCCTAATGTTATTTACATTTACGTAGAGGTATACCGTATCATCGAAAAAAATCGGCGTCTAGTTGGCTTGGAAATGACATCGATGACATTCCCTAAATAACTGTACATAAAATAATTAACAAGAATTTTTACAATCTTGGAAAATTTGAGTATTCTTGAACCTTTGATTCTAAATATTCTAAATTTTTTTGATTTATTTGGGAATTTTAGGTTCGGGAAAACGCTGCTATGATTTTCATTTGGTTTTTCATTATTTTTATTTGGTTTGTAAAAAAACGGTTCGGCTAACATTATAGCCTCCATCAGTGTTGTGTCATATGAAAAAATATAGTGTCGAATATAATCCAAAAAATTGTATATAAAATATTCACACCACGCACATAATGTTTGCACTGCGTACTCCATAGTCAATGTAGATAGTTTTATGTGTTAAGAATAATAATTTTAAAAAATATGTGGTTCATCTTTTGATAAGTTTATATTAGTTTATTAATTGCAGCAAACATTATGAGGTGAATTATATTGTATATGTAATTTTTTGGATTATATTCGACACCATTTTTCTCATGATTACCAACACTGTGAAGGCTATAGTTAGCCGAAACGTTTTTTTAAACCAAATAAAAATAATGAAAACCCAAATGAAAACTTAATCAGCGTTTTTCCCGAACCTAAAATCCCAAGAAAATCAAAATTTTAGAATAATTTAATATATAAAATGCCAAAGGATTCATTTCATAGCCATCGCTGACGCCTTTTAGATAATATTATTTGTAAACATAATTTTTTCGAACATTGATACTTGCAAATATACATATAAATTTGTGAATGCAAATAATAAGCTACATCACTATTAGTAGATAAATGTTTTGTTAAATTAGACTGATTTTCAACCCCAAAATTTAAATATATTGCATTTTACCCATTATCTTATGTACCTATACATTATTTGTAACATTGTAAAACATTTTAAGCTGCATTTGTATGGTTCATATTTATTTGCCAAAGTGATTATTACTATAAGCCAGACATATATGTTGTAGTTATTAACTGTATATTATGTATATTTCATTTTTAAAAGCTATAGTCATTTTTAAAATACAAACCAAAATCTGTGGAGGAATAATTATGTTTTCCATGTATTCTACAATATATTTATTAATCCGTTATATCTAACTAGCGTGACGTCATAAATCTCGCCCGTAGGCTGATCTTTTAATAGAAGGCACTGCTATTACAGTTGAGGGTTGGAACCTTTGGTGTTACACAGCAAAATAAAAACACTAAATCACCACAATACACCAAAACACATTTACTTTTACACTGGACGCTCGTTTCGCTAAACCATGTTGCGATGTTATGTAAACTGTTGTGCAGTTTATAATCATCTGCTGATGATGCTAACATGGTTAGCAGGCAACGTCAATAAAGTATTTTGGTGTATGTGACTAGTATGTTCTTTCAAACTAGTCGTAGAAAAAAAAATTTTGTACTTTTTTTTTCTTTTTACAAATTTAATTAATGTTACCATACTTATTAATTTAATACAATGTTACCACACACACACACATACTCGGAGTTTGCAGTAATGAACAAAATAAATAGATAATGAGATTACTCAGAAATATATTATTGTTCTTGGTCTTGAATCAAGATATCAATAAATATACAGGGTGAGTGTTAAATAAGTGCAAATATTTTTAGGGGTAGTATATTTCGACCCCAGAAACATGATTATGAGATAAAGACACATTTTTGTAAGGTTAAAAAACATTATTTCTTGATAATATGGCAACATAGTAGGTATAGTAGATTAAATTTACAAGATAGAAAACCCAGAAAAGACCAAGTAGTTCTAAAAATTTAAACAAAAAATCATTTTTATTTGAAATTTTCAAAGTAAAACAACTCGGTTATTTTGGGCTTTTTTGGAAAACGGTAAAGAGAAACTATGTTTCTTTAATCGAAAACTTATTAAAGATACACTCTGTATACAGTGGTGGCCAAAAGTATGGAAACTTTATACTTTTTAAAATATCACAGAAAATATTGCTATGCTTAAACTCTCAGGAAGAGGAGGCTATAAATGAACAGCTTATCAGCAAATAAAAGTATTCCAAAAATTACACAGCGAAAAAAATCTGTTAGCAGTTTTTATAGGAGAACAATATATTTCTTGTGGCCAAAAGTATGGAAACCATAAATAAATACATTAAAATTATTTAGTTTAAGCTGATAAACGGTACGATTTGCTTCAGATAAATATAAACATCATGCCCAAGTCTAAATATTTCTCTACGGATTTAAAAAATAAAATAGGTGAATTATACAAGAGCGGTTATAAACAAATTCAAGTAAGTAAAAATTTAAACATTTTAAAAGGCACCGTTTCGAAAATAATTCGTAAATTTAATAAAACAGGGAACGTTTCGGCAGCTTTTAAATCAGGAAGGCCAAGAAAGTTGTGCAACAGGACAATGAAAGTAATGAAGAGAATATCAATGGGAGATCCAAGAAAAACATCCACAGACATTTCTCGAGAAATGGGTGAAAGGGGAATATCGGTGTCTGCACGCACGGTGAGAAGAAGGTTGGATGACATGGGATTTTTTGGAAGAGTTGCGGTGAAGAAACCACTAATATCAAAGAAAAATAGGATGGCCCGCTTTAAATTTGCTCAAGATCATCTCACCTGGTCTTATCAGAAATGGAATGTACTGCTTAGCGACGAAAACAAGTTTCAACTGTTTGGTAGTGACGGGAGACGTTATGTCCGAAGACCAAAAGGTACACGGTACAGCCATAAGTACCAGATGCCCACAGTAAAACATGAGGGTGGGAGTATAATGGTATGGGGTGTTTTTCTCGCTCAGGTGTTGGTCCTCTCGCTCAGGTTGGATAATGGACCGTTTTTTGTACAAAGACATATTGGATAATAATATGCTGCCTCATGCTGATGAAGAAATGCCACTCAGATGGTTGTTCCAGCAAGACAATGATCCCAAGCACAAATCTCAGTTTGTTCAAAATTGGTTAAATGAACATAATGTTCCACTAATGGATTGGCCCTCACAGTCTCCGGATCTTAACGCCATAGAAAATTTATGGGACCATTTGGATAGGAAAATTCGAAGCCATTCTATTTCAAATAAAAATGAATTATGGGAAGTGCTAAAAACTGAATGGGCGGCCATTTCCAGTAAAGATTGTACGAGATTGATCGATTCGATGCCACGAAGATGTAGAGAAATAATTAATTCAAAGGGATATTCCACTAAATATTAGTAATTTTTATATTATCTTGAATTTTAATAAACATTCTTCTTAAGTTTCCATACTTTTGACCAAGAAAATATTCATAATTTTTTATATATTTTTTGATAGCTGTAATTTTTTATTTAAATGTATTAGGTTTTGTAGGAAATTATTTGTAGGTCACGATTATATAAGTCGTTTTATTTCATATTTTAATTTCTCAGCATAAATGACAAATTAAAAAAGTTTCCATACTTTTGGCCACCACTGTATATTGCACTAGTCTGGATTTAAATACTGAACACCTATCCTTTTCATATAATTTTCTGAACATTTTACTAGGTCATTATAATTATTCAATTATTTCAGAGCGAGTATCTGTACTAAAAAAACAAAATAAAAATAATCTTGTGCTGTAAATTCCGAAAGATAAATTATCACAGTAATTACCTTAAACGGTTTATTATCTAGGTAACACGAGAAACGAGCGACAGCCAGGCTAGTTCTGTTACGAAATAAAGTGAAAAAATAAATTTAATTTAAGGCCGACATTTGAAAATTTAGTCTAGCACCATTTATTATGATGTTATTCGGTATTCTTTCAATGTCCATTTACTATCTACTTACTCGAAAATTACTATCTCTTTTAACAAATTAATTAACGGTTTAAAAAGTATACAGTGTGTAAATACATGTGATTGTTTCTCTAAAATTAAGTTTTTAAAATCATCGAATCAGGGAAATTTTGGATTAGAAAAATTACAAAAAAATCAATTTACCTGTTAATGACAATGACAGATAGCAACCTTTCCTGCCCTGTATCCTCTTGGTGGACAAACTGTATGTTACCTACAAAGATATTGGGATTAATATATAGAGTGAACCAAAATCCACTGTCCATACATTTTGTTCTACGTACAAAAACAAAAAAATTCAAAATATTTCAAAATATACCATTCACATTCACATTCGTGTCTACCTGTGTCGGCATATTTTTTCTTGTGTTACAATTATTCATTTTTTAATATGATTTTACACTATATAACTTGGTAATATTTGATAGGTAATTTCATCTCGTTGGAATTTGACTTTCGAAAAATCCGTTTGCCAAAAATAAGCTTTTTACGACAAGCAGTTTAAGCAGAATCGTGGTTAATCAATTACCCAACTTTTTGGAACACCCTGTATGATTTTTATAAAAAATTCAAAATAAATTATACGCGTCCAAGCGTTTTCCCGAAAGACTAACCGTTTTTTAAATAACAAATATTGTAATATTTGAAAGGCGTTTTCACCCTCTTGGAATTTGACATTCGAGAAACCCCCCCTTATCGAAGCCCTACACCCCACAGTCAATCCGTTTGCCAAAAATCAGCTTTAAACGTCAAGCAGTTTAAGCACAATCGTGATTACTCAATGGTCATATTTTATGAAACACTCTGTATAAATTTTTAAAAAATCTTAAAATATGTAAAACAACAAAATAAAATATACGTGTTTAAGGGTTTTTACGAAAAACTCACCGGTTTATAAATAAAAAATATTCTAATATTGGAGGGGTGGTTTCATCCCCTTAGAATTCGAGTTTCGAAAAATCCCTTCTTATCGAACCTCTACACCCTAAAGTCAATCCGTTTTCCAAAAATCAGCTTTTTACGTCAAGCGCTTTAAGCAGGATCGTGATTAATCAATGACCAGATTTTTCGAAACACCCTGTATACATTTTTAAAAAATCTTAAAATATGTAAAAAAGCAAAATAAAATATACGTGTTTAAGCGTTTTTTTTTTTGGAAACTTGACCGTTTTTTAAATAAAAAATATTGTAATATTTGAGGGGGGTTTCACCCCCTTGGAACTGGAATTTCGAAGAATCCCTTCTTATCAAACCTCTTCAACCTAGAATCAACCTGTATGCCAAAATTGAGCTTCTTACGTTGAGTGGTTTGAGCAGGATCGTGATTAATCAGTGAGTCAGTCACTTAAGGATTTTATACAGGGTGTTTCGAAACAAATGCGAAAAACTTCAGGGGGTGATTCCTTGTTCAAAATAAAGGGTAGTTTGCTTCATAAACGTTGGGTCAAAAGTCAACCATTAGGGAGATATTGCGGTACAAATATGGCGGAAAAATAATGTTTTTATTTTTTATCTTGAAAACGAAAAGAGATAGACTAATAAAATTTTATGGAAGCATTACTGTTGTGAAAGCACACTTTCTGGTAATTTTTTCACTTTTTTAAAATGAGTGGAAGGTGTTGAAATAAACTACCCCATTCATTCTTGTTAACGAAATTTAAAGAAAAATCTTATCAAACACATGCAAAAAAATTAATTTGGATAGTTTAGTTTGTTTAAAAACTTTTTTATCTCTTGTATTTTTTTGATAAAACTCACCGATTTGAAATTAAAAAATAAAATGTAAAGCATTACATGTCAGGACAAAAAACCTTTTCTGATAAAGAATCTAGTGGGCTGCTGTAATTTTTTTAGGAAAAAATCTAGTCGGCCGCTGTTACTTTTTAAGATGTTCCTAATATTATTTTATTTGACATTACTCTACTGCAATACGTTATTATCTAGATGATTATTATTATCGTTATTATCATAGATTCTTAATCTAAAAATGTTTTTGTCCTGACATGTAATGCTTTACATTTTATTTTTTAATTTCCAATCGGTGAGTTTTATCAAAAAACACAAGAGGTAAAAAGTTTCTAAACAAACTAAACTATTCAAATTAAAGCATTTGCATGTGTTTGATAAGATTTTTCTTTAAATTTCGTTAACAAGAATGATAGAGGTAGTTTATTTCAACCCCTTCCACTCATTTTAAAAAGTAAAAAAGTACCTGAAAGTGTGTTTTTATAACAGTAATGCTTCCATAAAATTTCATTAGTCTATCTCTTTTCGTTTTCAAGATAAAAAATAAAAACATTATTTTTCCGCCATCTTTGTACCGCGATATCTCCCTAATGGTTGACTTTTGACCCAACGTTTATAAAGCAAACTACCCTTTATTTTGAACAAGGAATCATCCCCTTAAGTTTTTCGCATTTGTTTTGAAACACCCTGTATATTAGTATAGATTATATTATGTTTCAATGACAAAATATACACAGGTCATAAACTCGTCACCAAGCTATAGACATTAACTTAAGTTTACTTCCGATTATATTATAGTGATGAAGTGAATTTAAGTAAAAGGTTAGCCGACAGACAAGTGCCAATACAGAATCCTTCCCCCGGTATGGGGAACTTGGACAAGGACGGTGCTTAAGTATAGTAGTACTAGTAGCATTGATTCTAATGTGGTAATTTTCTAATGTTGTTATGGTTCGTTACGTACCTAGATGCCTGGCTGTGTGCATCCTTTATCTCATCTAACGAATTTGAGCGAGAGTGTTGAGATTAGCCTCCGAACGCGTGGTACTGTCAGTGATTAAGTGTTGTTTGAGTTTTCTTTTTCGTTGCTTTTTGGAATATCCAAAATGGTTTATACTATATCGGATAAAGTGGATGGAATACCTGAAAAGTGAGTGTTTATATTTAGATTATAATTACTTATTTTTAGATTTTTTTAATTAATTGTTAATTTAATTAATTTGTATAAAACGTATCAGAGATCAAAAACAATTAAAAAAAAATATGGATGTAAAAATTAAACAGTTATAAAAAAATATAAAATAATAGTGACAAAGAGAGACGTGACATGTTTGTGTTTTTTGATTTTTTAAAGAGCATTACTCCAGATTTTAAAACATTTTGTTTCTCATAAATATTTTTAATAAAAATAATGAATAAAATACATCTGTATGAATATATTTACAAAAATCGAGTCAAAAATTATATTTCTGAAATAAAAAATCCGAACTTATTTAAATTTAGTATATTAATTACGTTATAAAGCTCTATACAGGGTGGTCCGAATCGTATTCCGGAAACTTCGACAGCATATTCTGCAGATAAAAATAAATATAAAAGTTCGTATAAATGTATGTCCTAAAATGCTTAGTTTCGGAGATACAGGGTGTAAAAGTTTCATTTTTATTTCGATTTTTTCCAAATAATTTCTGAAGTAACGTCAATATTTGGATGAAAATTGGTATCTGGGAGTATTGTGACACGAGAAATTTGATTTTGATGTCAAAATTACTCCTATTTGTAGGGGGCGCCACCTACATGTATTTTAACTGTTTTGAAGAGTAATAACTTTTCGACCGTACCTGTATAAAACCACTGACTAAAAAAATATACATTTTCATGACCTTTTATGTAAAAAATGTCTCTTGGTAAAAATCGCTACGAGCAACCGTTCTCAAGATATTTAGAATGGAAATAGTCAATACATGTCATTATTGACAAAAAGTAAGCACATGTTGAGTATAGTAATTTGACTGAAATAATAAATTTTAATTTTTTTAAATTACTCATAAGTTTTCCTGCGAAAAAATGATGATTAAACAATTTTTTTTGAACTTTTGACACAAAAAAATTTAAAATTTATGATTTCAGTCTAATTACTATTAACATGTTTAATTTATGTCAATGATGACAGGTACCTATTGATAATTTCGATTCCAAATATCTCGAGAACCATTACTCGTAGCGATTTTTACCAAGAGACCTTTTTTATGTAAAAAAAGTCGCAAATGTATATTTTTTTACTCAGTAGTTTTATACAGGTACCGAAGAAAAGTTATTACTCTTCAAAACAGTTAAAACACATGTAGGTGGCGCCACCTAGAAATGGGAGTCATATTGACATCAAAATCAAATTTCTCATGTCAAAAAACACCCATCCACCAATTTTCATCCAAATATTGGCGTTACTTTAGAGATTATTTGGAAAAAATCGAAATAAAAATGAAACTTCTACACCCTGTATCTCCGAAACTAAGCATTTTAGGACATACATTTATACGAACTTTTTTACTTATTTTTATCTGCAGAATATACTGCCGAAGTTTCCGGAATACAATTTGTACCACCCTGTATATGTATAGGTACAATGTTTAATTAATAACCTACTCAAAAAATTATTGTTAACGGGGCGGTATATTAAACTTGGATATTAGTAAAACCATATTTTAGAAAACAAGACAAAAAAATAAATCTATATACCGGGTGCGTCTCAAAAGTGAATCAGCCCTATAACCTTTTTATTTTTTCAGATAAAAAAACGGGATTTGGTATGTTAGTATTTGACATAAATTAGGATTGATTGACGTATTCAATTGTTTTCGACAAATTTTCGATCACTTTTTGTTTCACCGGAAATGCGGGAAATGATGACAACGTTTGATTTTTAAATGGCATCCTGTGTGTATTTTTACTTTATTCGATAGGAAATGACACTCTGATTAGAATGACATATCTTATGTCAACTTTTAACATTTTCGCTTAAAAAAATGATCATCAAATCGTATTTCTATTTTTTCAAATGGAACAAGGGTGGCTCATTAGCACATTTGATTTTTTTTACGAATAATTTGGTACCATACACTTGGTATTTCGAGTCAAATTGTCATTATGAACCGCATGTTACAATTTCAAACAAACCATATGCTCAAATGTCAAAAGTTGACATCTCGAATGAAGTAGAAATATACAGAGGGTGCCATTTAAAAATCATAAGTTGTAGTCATTTCCTGTGGAACCAAAAACAATTAAATACATCAAAAATTCCTAATTTATGTCATATACTAACTAAATATCGTTTTTTTTTTATCAGAAAAAATAAAAAAGTTACAGGGGGTGAGCCACGTTTGAGACGCACAGGGTATGTATACTGCATTCCAGATATTTTAAATAAAAATTGTTCAAGAATATTAAAAGGATAGTTAACTACGACAGAATTTAATTTATTTGTGACCATAGCAACGCAACACCTTTATTCTTTTCATCATAGATCTTTCCACTTGTAGATTTTTCATCTTAAGAATTTGTAAAAACATTTGATTGGCAAGGTAAACATATACATATTAAAAATTAGCTTGGTAATTTTCCTAAAGGCTACAACGCTTTAAATACTATATTTTACAGAACTCTCGATATTCTTAAGGTTAAGTTGACCCTGTAGCACGTTTCTACCAAGAATGTATGCAAAACTATATGCCATTAATACAAATTCAATCAAGTTAAGTAGTACAGTGGTGGCCAAAAGTATGGAAACTTTTTACTTTTTAAAATATCACAGAAAATATTGCTATGCTTAAACTCTCAGGAATATAAATGAACAGCTTATCAGCAAATAAAAGTATTCCAAAAATTACACAGCGAAAAAAATCTGTTTAGCAGTTTTTGTAGGAGAACAATAGATTTCTTGTGGCCAAAAGTATGGAAACCATAAATAAATACATTAAAATTATTTAGTTTAAGCTGATAAACGGTACGATTTGCTTCAGATAAATATAAACATCATGCCCAAGTCTAAATATTTCTCTACGGATTTAAAAAATAAAATAGTTGAATTATACAAGAGCGGTTATAAACAGATTCAAATAAGTAAAAATTTAAACATTTTAAAAGGCACCGTTTCGAAAATAATTTTTAAATTTATTAAAACAGGGAACGTTTCAACAGCTTTTAAGTCAGGAAGACCAAGAAAGTTGTGCAACAGGACAATGAAAGTAATGAAGAGAATATCAATGGGAGATCCAAGAAAAACATCCACAGACATTTTTCGAGAAATGGGAGAAAGGGGAATATCGGTGTCTGCACGCACGGTGAGAAGAAGGTTGGATGACATGGGACTTTTTGGAAGAGTTGCGGTGAAGAAACCATACTAATATCAAAGAAAAACAGGATGACCCGCTTTAAATTTGCTCAAGATCATCTCACCTGGTCTTATCAGAAATGGAATACTGTACTGTTTAGCGACGAAAGCAAGTATCAACTGTTTGGTAGTGACGGGAGACGTTATGTCCGAAGACCAAAAGGTACACGGTACAGCCATAAGTACCAGATGCCCACAGTAAAACATGGGGGTGGGAGTATAATGGTATGGGGGTATTTTTCTCGCTCAGTTGTTGGTCCTCTTGTTAAAATTGATGGAATAATGGACCGTTTTTTGTACAAAGACATATTGGAGAATAATATGCTGCCTCATGCTGATGAAGAAATGCCACTCAGATGGTTGTTCCAGCAAGACAATGATCCCAAGCACAAATCTCGGTTTGTTCAAAATTGGTTAAATGAACATAATGTTCCACTAATGGATTGGCCCTCACAGTCTCCGGATCTTAACCCCATAGAAAATTTATGGGACCATTTGGATAGCAAAATTCAAAGCCATTCTATTTCAAATAAAAATGAATTATGGGAAGTGCTAAAAACTGAATGGGCGGCCATTTCCAGTAAAGATTGTACGAGATTGATCGATTCGATGCCACGAAGATGTAGAGAACTAATTAATTCAAAGGGATATTCCACTAAATATTAGTCATTTTTATATTATCTTGAATTTTAATAAACATTCTTCTTAAGTTTCCATACTTTTGACCAAGAAAATATTCATAATTTTTTATATATTTTTTGATAGCTGTAATTTTTTATTTAAACGTATTAGGTTGTGTAGGAAATTATTTGTAGGTCACGATTATATAAGTCGTTTTATTTCATATTTTAATTTCTCAGCATAAATGACAAATTAAAAAAGTTTCCATACTTTTGGCCACAACTGTATATATTTTATATATATAAAATAATTTGATAATACTTACATAGACATTAAATTCTTGAAAAACGCTAAAGGAGGAAACTACTTCAAAGAAAGTACCTGAAAGACCAAAAATAATCCTGGAACTCCTCGAATCCTCGAATCGAAGATAGGTTTATCCATTTTTCTTTTGGAAATGGCTCCCTAAAAAAACATTTTGATTTAGAAAGATACATAATTATGATATGAAGTATTGTTTTAACCAACAATATATTCAAAATATTTAGGACCATATTAGAAAAAGTTTGCTTTGTTTCACAATCGTTTTATTTTTTATAAGAAAATAATGAATCTCAGAAAACTCCCAATAAACCAACTGCCCGAATTTCTCGAATACATTGTATATAATTTTTTATAAGAATCTAGATCAATCGTCAATCAATATACACAGTGCCATCATTGAGTTTTTCAATCAAAGTAACTTTGTTATTATTAGAGATAAACAAATTTAAAAATTAGGGAGCAGATTAAATTATAATAAACTAGCGTGTACCAGCGACTTCGTTCGCGTCGAATTAATCATTTGTAATGGTGATGATAAAGCAAAGCAAGAATTTCCATTAACATACAAACTGGATAAAATTTTCTCACATTTATGTCAGCATGACAAAAAACAATATGGCGATATTATTATATAACTTGGTAATATTTGAGGGGTAGTTTGATCTCGTTGGAATTTGACTTTCGAAAAATCCGTTTGCCAAAATAAGCTTTATACGTCAAGCAGTTTAAGCAGAATCGTGGTTAAGAAATTACCCAACTTTTTGGAACACCCTGTATGATTTTTTAAAAAATTTCAAAATATGTAAAACCAAATAAATTATGCTTGTCCAAGCGTTTTCCCGAAAGACTAACCGTTTTTTTTTAAATAACAAATATTGTAATATTTGAGGGGCGTTTTCACCCTCTTGGAATTTGAGATTCGAGAAACCCCTCCTTATCGAACCTCTACACCCCACAGTCAATCCGTTTGCCAAAAATCAGCTTTAAACGTCAAGCAGTTTAAGCAGAGTCGTCATTACTCAATGGTCATATTTTATGAAACACCCTGTATAAATTTATAAATATCATTAAAAATATTGGAGAATATTTATAAAAAAAATCGGCATTTTTTTATTGGATAATGCACACATATAACATATATTATATTAATATTTTATTTATGAATATATCATTTGGATTGCACGTTTTTTGTTAATGCATATTGACATTAGTGGTTAATGCTAAATATTGTATAATTTTAAATCCAGAAATTCTACTGTATAATACCCTTATAATACCTTATTAATTATTAATATTTAAAATGATAATGACTGGTTAAATATAAATATGATATAGATAATAAATTGTTAATTAAAACCTATCATTTCAATTTACCATTATAGAGATATTATTTTTTTTACCATATGGAAATAGAGTATAAATCTCTAAACTAAAGAATATAAATAATAGGTACCTACTCAGGGTTTTTATTAATTATGTTTTATTAATGTGTTAAAGCAGAGAATGATACTTATACCAAAAACAAAACAAAACAAAAATATGTCCAACACAGAACATCTTATTTATTTTTCGGACACAATTTGTTGGCAAAGCTTGAACAAAAAATAATTGGACAATTTTAGTTGACAGTATTTTCAGGTATTATACACTAATTTGAACATGGTGAAGTGTAATGGTCTTGTACAATTTAGGTACGTCAGATTTAAAAAAAAATATACAGAAATGAGAAGAGGGACACTTAAAATGACGTGATCAAATTATAATATATGTTATTTATCGGTTTAATATTGCTACTGTCATTTTTCAAAATTAATGTGGAAAAGTATAAATAAACCAAAATACCGATTTTCAAAATTTCATTGTTACCGCCAGCGATACGCAAAAGAAAAATAAATTATAACCTGCGTCCTCTTTGTCACCCTTATTAAACCCTAATACTTGGTCAAAAAATATATCATTCTAATCAAGTGATCTCAAACATTTAGCCGAATATCCGTACTTAAAACGTTAAAACATTAAGTCTAGAATATAATAATATCTTTACATCATTAACTTTAAGAATGGCAAGTACCTAAATCGTACAATCACCAAATGAAATATTTACTAGAGTGAATGTATATAATATTAACAGAAATACATATTTAAACTGTACTTACTATAGTTAGTACATATCCAACATGAGTATAATTCTGAAAAGAACACACAAATCACTACTCATCAAGCACTAAACACTACCGCACATGTTCGAGGAATAACATCAACTAAGTTTATCAAAGATTATTTATTTTTATACCTAAGTACAATATATCGTTTTTTGTTAGTCTTGGAATTTTAATATTTTAAATAAGTTATGTAATAATTTCGAACAAAAACTAAAATGTTTCTCGTTTAGTTAAAGCAAAAGTCGCTTTAAAGATGGGTAGCGATCCCTAAATAATAGCCCCTTAGTGTTTTTTTAATTTAAAGAGTTTTAGTTTTATATATTCATATACAGGGTGGTCCCAATTGTATTCAGGAAACTTTGGCAGCATATTTTGTAAATAAAAGTAAGTAAAAATGTTCGTATAAATTTATGTCCTAAAATGTTTCGTTTTTTAAATGTATTTATAAAATTATATACAGCGTGTTCACTACATACGACACGAAGTATTGTAGCTTAACGATTAGATTTTTACAAATTGTAAGTTTGGTTAGGTTCATTGAAGGATTATTAGAGCTACAATTTAAAAATAATTTTACAGGTACAGAGTGTTCCAAATAAGTAAAATATATTATTGTTGTATTTTTTTAAGATTCCACGATTGAAATAAAGGTAAATTTGATTAAGGTTTATTACCCGTAAACCGTTATTGAAATATTTTCAATTTTGTGAAATTGCAGTAAAAAATTTAAGGCTTTATTTCTTCAAGGGTATGAAAGTTTTTAATACTAAATATTTACTGAAGATTATTTATTGGTCAGATATTGTGCTGCAATAATAAAAATTATACTACTTTATAGAGAATGTCCAAAAATTTATATTTAATAATTATTAGCTTTAACGGCAATAATTTGTCTAATTTAAATGGAACACACTGTATATTTTACTTGAATCAGATACATAATTTAATTGTCTATCAAATTCTGGTTTTTATCTATCTATCTCTTCAAGTTTTCGTAGAAAATGCATTTTCTTATAATTTAGACATCATTTATTTATATACCCATGGAATATTGACATTTTAGAGACTTTTTTAAAGCAACATATGTGCAAAATGAACAGGTGGTAAAAATAATAATATTGCAAACCCGTTTGTTTACAAAAAGAAAATTATTTAACTATTTTTGTAAAAGGGTGTACCAATTAAATATACCACCATTGTTTTCACCCAAAAATTAGTTAAATACATACTTAATTGTTTTAATTAATAAATTATTCTAAATTAATGTGGATTTGACTCAAAAATAAATATAATAATAAGTTATGAAAATGAACATCTCATGTCTCTATATCTTTTACATTGAATACAGTATTATCTGATTGCGATTTAAATGATGATATCGACTTCACTTATAGTTTCCTATTTACAAATATACAAATATTCAAATTAGTTCAAAAATCTATGCATTTTCCTACCCAATCTGTCTAATTTAAATATTCGGATTCTTATTATCATTGACGTCCTTACTAAAGAAACTCGAGCTATATTTATAAAAGATACAGTAAATATTAGCATTTAACTAAGCTTATAATGCTTAAGGTGCCTAATTGAATGTCAGAGAGGCTCTTCAAGCGACATTGTTTGCCAACTTATTTCTATGTTGGAAGCCATTATTTTTAGTAGGGCATACTTGAAGTCCGCCAATCTTCTTTAGCTTTGTTTTTGATAACGAAGTCTGTATTAGAATTCTCATAAATAAGTTATTTAAGGACTCTCCATTCAAACAGACTGTTTTAAAGATATTTACATAACTGTGGCAACCCCTTTCGGATAATTTTTTGTACAATATAAAAAAATTAAGCAAAATTTGAATAATATTTTACACCCCACTATTTTAAAAATTTTATATATTGTGTTTTAGTTGACCAATTTTGATGATTTTTTAAGTAATTTGTAGCTAGATTATTTGACTTTTTAGTATCTCTTTCTAAATTAACAATGAAAGTTTCTATCTGTCAATTATACGACGGAAAACAAAATGTTGATATTTTTTTGAAAGTTCGAAACATCCTGTGGAGTACGTTAACAAAGCATAGAATTTAAGAATAATTCTATCATCTAGGTTTTTTGTTTCGATAGTTTGTTTGTTGATACATCTAAATAGCATTATTTTTTTGGAGATATTAGGTGCCCGGTGGCATGGCGTAGAGGTACAGGCTCTCGTCTACCAATCTGAAGGTAGTGGGTTCGATTCCCACACCCGGCATTTCATCAGCTGACTATTTTTATTAAAAAAAAATCGGTAAAAAAACTTTTAAGTTAAACGGTTTTATCTTATGTGCACTGAAAACTAGAAAATAATAATAACAATTAGGTATTTTGAACTTCTAGTTCAGAAATATTTTAGTACTAGGCAGAATATAGCTTTTAGGCATATTAGACTAAAATAAAAACGTGGGGCCCATTAACTATTGCTGTAATACTTTCTTCTATACTAAGTGTGGATTGCATCGACTTACTATAATCGTAACTGGAGATTTTGACAATCAATAACCAGCCGTGGCGGCTTCACCAGCGAACGCCGAGCTCATGATCTACCAAAGTATAAAGATATGCTTTGCCATAGGTAGGATTTCAGAGGTGCCCCACGTTTTTATTTTAGTCTAATATGCCTAAAAGCTATTCTGCCTAGTACTAAAAATATTTCTGAACTAGAAGTTCAAAATACCTAATTGTTATTATTATTTTCTAGTTTTCAGTGCACATAAGATAAAACCGTTTAACTTAAAAGTTTTTTTACCGATTTTTTATTTTCTAGTTTGCAGTATTTAACGGAAATGCCTACCGAATCTTCCTCATTCTATTTAATTCATTTAGTGCATCATTATTACGTAGTTTTTTACCTGATAATTTATTACAATCTGACGCTCAGGTGTTTCTGACGCTAACAACTCACTCTATCTGTCGCGCTCTGATGCTAGCCTAGACTCATGATGCTCAGGTGTTTCTGACGCTAACAACTCTCTTTGTCTCTCTCGTTGTGATGCCAGCCTAGACTCATGACGCTCAGGTGTTTCTGCCGCTAACAACTCTCTCTGTCTGTCACGTTGTGATGCTAGCCTGGACTCATGACGCTCAGGTGTTTTTGACTCTACCAGCTGCCTTTGTCTCTCACGTTGTGCTATTAACCTGGCATCATGTTGCTCAGGTGTTTCTGTTGCTAACCGTTCTCTTCGTTTCTGTAGTCGACTATAGGTTTCATTTTCACTTTCTTTTGCACGTTTCGTTCTATACTTTTCTTTCGCCTTTTCGAGCCTTCTTCTTCGTTGTCTAGCAGTTTCGTTTTTATTTTTGTTTGTTTTTTTATTTATTGTTTCCATGTTGTTCCCACGAGTAATGGACATTTTAACGGTCGACCCCCCCAGAGGTTCAGTGGAGGGGCAAGGCTATAATATACAACAAGAAGCGCCCAATCTTGAGGGGACGCTTGCGACATTACATTTTTAGCCACCCTAATGCCATACAGTCCTCAGCACGTTTTAACCTATTACCTTAACTTGGGTGGTAAAGCTACCGCTAACAACGTAGGTACATCTAATCAGCTATTTTTTTTATCTGTCCTTCTAACGTCACACAATCTTGGACACAACTGTTCTGGACACGACTACTCATGCCCTCACCTAATACGCCATTTTGTAACGACGTCCATCTTGGATTTTAAATTTTGTCATAATCACAGTATTCTACTAGTGTAGCTCTTTCATTGAGGGGGTTGTGGAAAAATATGAAATCCGCCATTTTGTACCGGCGGCCATCTTAAATTTACAATGTTATTGATATTACTATATTGTATTGTCATCGGAACTAAAGGTGTGTACCAAATTTCAGATCAATCTGACAACAGGAAGGTACTTAAATTTCAATTTCTAATTTTGACCCAACTAAATAAATACCGTACGGGTCGAGCTAAATAAAACCGTTTAATAAAAATAGTTTGGGTACCTAGGTCGACTCAGCCTTAAATGAGTACTTGGGCTTCACAATCCTGAGGTAATAATAGGCGGTTGAAGCATAGTGCTAGCCACAGTACCTTCCTTGTATACCGAACGGCTCTAGTATGGCAAGCTGTACCTTGCTACTCCCAAGGCGTTAAACGTTATATATGGGAGCTATTATTATTATTATAAAAGAAACTAAAAAGTAAAATAATTTACCTACAAATTTCTTAAAAAATCCTTAAAATCGGTCAACTAAAACAAAATATATTTAACTTTAAAATACATCAAAATTTTAAGGTGCCTGTTTTTCATGTAGGTGAGTGTATTATTTCACATCATTTATGTTTTATTGATTTTATTAAGTGTCCATATACATGTTATTAATGTAAAAATGCCTATAATATGTTTTCTGATTAATCTGAACGACTCTAGATTATATTATAAAAAAGTGTTATCGTTGCTATCAATTAGGTACTTTGATAGATTTTCACTTTATTTTACTCTATTTGAAAAAGGAGCTCTCTACCAAACTATCCAAGCTCTTTCCTTTAATCTTGAGCTCAAAAGAAAATTATACTAATCCGGAATCACATTTGCATGTTGAAATTAGTGAAAAACTGGACGAGGACTAGCCTAGGGGCTTTTAATCATAATTGGAAACATTCCCTTGCCTTTGACTTCTTTTAAGAGACTCTTCACTTGGCCCCCTATCTCTCCGCCATCTTTTGCAATCACTTCGCTCTGAAAATTTACGATTATTACAAAAGCTATCAATTTTGTCGACGTCGACAAGAAAGAAGATCAAATTCTAATTTAGTCTAATGAAAAACTTTTTTCCCCTTTCATTTTTTTCTCGGCATAAAACAAATTTAATGGTGTTATTGACATAGACGTAAAACTTTTAAAAAGGATTTTTAAAAGAATGGCAGCCACCAACAAAATATTTCTGATGTTTGGACTAAATTTTCTCGAAAATAAGGACAAAATTTAAAATTCCGTTACAATACGGAAATATTTTGAAGTTTTGTGATTACGGTAAAATATAATTCATATGGTTTTGTAACAAATTGCTCGCAATTTTATGGCAAATGCTGAAGC